TGTCATTCTGAGCGACGTACACGCACGAAAATGTGCACACTTTCATACACGTTGTACCAAAAAATGCATTTCAACCGTTTATCAGAACGATCGACTTTTTTCATGTTCGCAGTTCTAATCGATATCAAAGCATACTTCAGCGACAACATTATCAGATCATAAATGCCGCTTATATTTCGTACCGGTGAAAAATCGATTATTTATTTCGTGTACCGCATTTCGCTAGTTTATCTGGAATAATCGCGAGATAAGGTCAAGACAGAAGTAACCACACGTTTTTCACACATTTTTCGTCGGCGAACGCTCGGAACCGGCTCGAGAAACTCGTACAAATTACACCGCGGCTATTAAATTATTAAGAGAGATAATTATCATTGCTTTTGACGGTTAGCCGCCACGGCGATGAAATACTGTCGTGGTAATTTCGTACTCGTGCAATAACGCCGATCATTCAATGATCGACTCTAATTACACCTGGCAGTGAAATGAATTTCATTTTTTTGCGTCATCAGTCTGCTCAAATTTAATTATTTCGAGGCTTCGGGTAATTTTCGTTCATCGGCTTACGATTGACATAGATAAATTGACTATGCAGCTATAACGTGGCTTTCGTTTTTCGTGAAAACGTTTTGCCAAACGTTGCTTCAATTGCTTTCGAAAATAATCGAAAGAAAATTCAAGATAGGGACAAATTTGTATGTGATAACAGAGATGAGAAAACTGGGGATGAAGAAATTAAAACATTTAGGAAAATTGGAGTTTCAATTCTTCAGATTTGGATGTTTATAAATTTAGAACTGTATAAATATCAGTTATCCTGATTTTAAAATTTAGTAGCAACTGCATTCTGTAACTCTCAAATTTACGATTTTGGGACCGAATTTTTTCATATTCGAGTTTAAGAAATTGGAGAATTAAGGAATTGAAGAATTGAAGAATTGAAGAATTGAAGAATTGAAGAATTGAAGAATTGAAGAATTGAAGAATTGAAGAATTGAAGAATTGAAGAATTGTAGAATTGAAGAATTGTAGAACGGAAGAATTGAATTATTGAAGAATTGTAGAATGGAAGAATTGAAGAATTGAAGAATGGAAGAATGGAAGAATTGAAGAATTGAAGAATTGACGAATGGAAGAATTGAAAAACGAAAAATTGAAAAATTGACAATTTGAATAATTGAAAAACTCTCGATTTAAATAATCAAAAAATAAATATTTGAAAAATGGATAAATTGTAAAATTGAAAATTTAAAAAATTAAAAAATTTCTAATTCGTAAGCTAATAAATTTGTAATACATTCTATCTCCTCAATACTTCCAAAACGATACCCATATTCATCTCAAAATACTTCTCCAGAACTCGAACCAAAAAATATATTGAAAAAACGCTCGGCAAAATCGTGTTCGCAAGAAAATACAGGAATACATCCTGCAAATTCCGGCGTATTAAACGAACAGGTGGCGAGAAGCGAACACGTGTAAACGTCAGAGGGATGCGCCCGTGAAGACCGTAACTTAGCGCGCGATTTTCAAGGGGCTGTCCGAACCGATCGTGCACGGGAACAGTGGACCGTGCATCAAATTTCATTGCACGGTTATGGAAGTTTGACAAGGTGTGACGGGCTTCCAGCACGTGTCGACACGACGCCGTGGCTTCACCAACTTGCTCCGAGACGCATACTTTTCTAGATGCAGCAACCCCTTGCTCGACCTTGATGCATTCCTCGCGCTGGGCATGGCAATTTATTCGCTATTCAAGTTTGCCATCGATGGATGGGAAGAATGCGGTAACTTTTATGCTTACCGTTTCATATAGAGTGTTTAATTGTAGCTGATCATACATGGAAGAACATAACACCTTACTGTTGAAGTTAGATCAGTATACTAATCAATGTTTATAAGCTATGTCATAGAAAGACTACAAAGGTTAGAGTTTAAAAATACATACATACATAGAAAAAATATAACACTACTTTGCAATTAAATCGGTATACTAATCAATGTTTATAGGCTGTGTCATAGAAAGACTACAAAGGTTAGAGTTTAAAAATACATACACAGAAAAATATAACACCTTACTTTGAAATTAGATCAATATAACAATCAGCCAACAGGCTGTGTCATAGAAAGACTACCAAAATCTTCTTCAACAGTGTCTGCAGAGATCAAACTCAACACAGGATGTCGAATTCGCGGGACAAAACAATGGTCCATTATCCTCGATAATGGAGGAGACAAATTTTCTGTCGCCGACAGAAAAAGGTTTACAACATACCCCGTTCGGGGGATGTTTCGGTCGTTAACCCTTATCTCGATCTCGATCTGCCGTCGAAGTGCGAACGATCGAGTCTCTGCGACGAAACGAAATCTCGATCGAGGTGGTCCTTCGGATCCCTTTTTCTTCGCGATCACCTACGCTTCGATGAACCCCGTTGCGTGTCGGGGGTCGCCCTCTTTTCCTACTGTCCACCATGGAACTTCTTTCGAAAGGGCCCTTTTGTCCACCGACGACACAGAAAGCTACTTTACGTAACGGTTGGACCTCTCGTCTTGAGGTACTCGAAAAACGACGCTTGATATTATTCATTGTCTATAAATTATATTAGGTAAAATTATATGCATAATTCTTTTGGTCACTAAATTGAATTTCTAGGATGTAGTTATGTTTTTTTGCCACCCGGTGTGTGAAGCGGTATTTCTTGAAATTTGTCCCATTTTCAAGGTGCCTGAAGTTGAACAGTGACATTTCTCAACATTATATTATATTAATTACAGAATTCAAAAATTTGTTGATGTGTTGAGTTTGATTGACCCTGATGACGTATTTCAAGGTTATAATGACTCTTATTCAGTAGATTTTTTAATAATTTTTGCTACCGTTATATCAATTGAAAAATATTTTCTTATCATGTTTTCTTACAATTTTTTAAATTAATTAATCTTAAATTAATGTTATTCAATTTTAATATATAACACTTGCAAATTGGTATGACAAGTATTGATTGTTCTCTAAATTTTATTTTGTTCAAATTGTTATACATAACAGTGTGACCCACTATGTAGTAGTTTGGTAAAAAGTAGATGGTACTACATATTTCTAGATGTAGTATGAATTTATTAATATTACACTGGTATAATATTACATTGTTCTCCACTGCGAATACATAATTCGTTTTGTTGCAGTTCATTAAGCAGCAAAAGTGATTGCATTGAATTCTTAGAAGTGAATGTACATGCATTTTGTTTTTGCATGCCACCCGGTGCGTAAAACGGTATTTCTTGAAATTTGTCCCATTTTCAGTACGTCATAAGTGTGAAGTAAAAATATTGAACAGAGTTGTAAATTTTAAGCATCAGAATATTTATATGTTGTATTACAGCAGGGAAAATTTATGTACATTTACAAGTTCCATTTTAAGTTACACTAGGTTCTCTTTGATGAATCAAAATTTGACAAACACAGCAAAAATGCTATTGTAAGTGGTTGTAAATCGTGTCTAATAAAATAGCTAAAACTTTATATTTATACATAATATTCTATAAATTTATAACACAAATAAATTTATATAAATTTACATCAAGTAATACACAACAAGTAATATAAATATTACTTATAATATAAATTACAAAATAATTGCATAACAATTATATAATTATATGAACGTGTAAAATAAAAATAACTGCATATGTATAATTACATGAATATACAAAATAAAAATAAGTGCACAATAATTATATAATTACATAAATATGAAAAATAATATAAATATAATTTATGTCATTTGTAATAATGTTCATATTTGTCAAAGTTAAAGAACGAAAGAATGAATACTACATATTATTTTCCCTTTGAAGTTCATACATTCATTGAAAACCAGATTAGAGGTTCCATTATTTTGATGAAGTATAAACGTATGCATATACGTGGTTAACCAGTTAGAAGGTAACTGTACGATAAAGTTGCAATCTTTTGTAATAACCACCTTAATCGCGATCTTGGGGAGAATACGAGCCACGAAGGTCTCTAGGGGTTACTTTGATTTGTTTAATGTAAGCAGGGGTGAAATTTCAGAATGAAACTTGAGTTTCTTGAATATTAAACATAACTGGTGACTGCTGTGATTTTCGAGATTTTATGATTGGGTAGTTGAATTTTGAGAAATTTCTGGGATGAAAAATTAAGGATTTGGAATTTGGGAACCTTGTGAGTTTGGGAAGTTTGGAATTTGGGGTATTTGGTATTTGGGGTATTTAGTATTTGGGGTATTTGGTATTTGAGGCATTTAGAATTTGGGAAATGTGGAATTGGGGAAATTTAGAATTTTGGGAATCGTGGAATTGGGGAGATTTAGAATTTGGGAAATGTGGAATTGAGGAAATTTAGAATTTGGGGAATGTGGAATTTTGGGAAATGTGGAATTGGGGAAATTTAGAATTTTGGGAATCGTGGAATTGAGGAAATTTAGAATCTTGGGAATCGTGGAATTGGGGAAATTTAGAATTTGGGAAATGTGGAATTGGGGAAATTTAGAATTTTGGGAATTGTGGAATTGGGGAAATTTAGAATTTTGGGAATCGTGGAATTGGGGAAATTTAGAATTTTGGGTATCGTGGAATTGGGGAAATGTGGAATTTTGGGAAAATGTGGAATTGGGGAAATTTAGAATTTTGGGTAATGTGGAATTTGGGAAATGTGGAATTTGAGAAATGTAGAATTTAGAAAATGTGGAATGTAGGAAATTTGGAAATGTATAATTTGGGAAATTGGTAAACTCGATAATCTTCAGTTTGCAAAACTTGAAATTTCAGTTTTTTAAAACTTAAAATCTATAAAACATGAAAAATTAATAACAAATTTTTGCGAAGTACATACAATACCAAAACCTTTTAATTAAAATTATTATGTCCATAAATCTAATACTATAATATGTCAAAATTGTTTTCCAAATCAATACCAAACTTGTCAAATCTTATCAGAGTACACAAGAACATAATCTTACCTCGTTTGCCGTGGTCCCTGGATCTGCCCAAGAATCAAAAGGGCTATCGCGGTTGCCGCGATGTCACCACGACGCATCTCTTACATCACAATTCCCTTGTTTATTGAATTCATAAAACGGATGCACACAGGACGAGTTTTACGCTTCCGCAGTCAGACAACCGGATGCACGTCGGACACTTTGTCGCTTCAGTGGCACGACACGAGTTTCACGGTCCTATCACACGGCATTGCACGATTTCTCGCGTGAATCTTTCTCATTGTCGAACACTAATTGCTTCTCTATTTCAGTGTTCAGAAAATTGTCATTTACATCAAGGTTTCACTACGACTATTCCGTTTTAAGTATACAAAAGTATGAAAATTATAGCGGAAGAAATCTTCCATTTATATTCTGTTAATTTATCTATTTTTGTTTTCAACAATAGACAAATTTTTAAATCTAACTTTATTGTGGTAAAAATTTATTTGCTATCAATTTTTACTGATAATCTTTAATACAAATTTTTACGTTTTCTTGAAAATTTCAGGAATAACTCTTTTGTACAAATTTTCCTTCAGGTTTAATTTTACAGTAAAAAATTTATTTTTTAACACAAATTTAATTTTCTTCTTGAACACTTCGAGGATATTGTCCTTTTTCTCGATTTAAAAAGAAATTCTTTCACACACTTTGAAATTGAATTATTTACAATTGTTTCACTGTCTTTTCTCCTCGATTAAATACGTAGTTTTATTCGAATTTCGATATCGAATTTTTGTTTAAAAAGTTTAACTCAATTATTTCTTCCAACACTGTAATTTATATGTAGTCCGATTTACATAAAATTTCAATATTCATAAAATTTGCATCAAGGTTTTATTACCTCGTCTTCAAGTCCTTTACACTTATCCAATACTTTCCTCTTTCACTCAAATATTAAATCTATTTCTTTAAGGCACAGTATACATTAATTTTATTGTTTTAGAAGTTCAGAAAAGTTTCTCTAAAATAAACCTTTCAGTCAAACCTATTTTTCTTCAAGTAATGGTTCACGAATTTATTATTCGATTTAATCTTCTGTAATAAGAACAATATCACTCAAAATTGTCACTGATATTGTTCACAATTATACGTATAAAATTCTTCGTTTTCGCTTATACAAACTTAAATTGTCCTTCAGATACTGAAACACTAAAATCAAATTTTCTTCTTCAACTTTTTATTTGCTTCTTTTCAACTGCAGCACAAAATCCGATCAAACAGCAAGCTGTTCAAGATGTCAACGCATACATTTCTTCTTCGTCAAGATGTTTAAAGATCATAAAAAAATTCAATTTGTAAGTTTGTCCTACTTCTGTTCAACAAAAACAAGGTTCTTCACTTCCTTGTGTAAACACTTTAAAACACACTTTATACTGTAACACGATTCTGAGAATGTCGATCAATTACCTCGTTAGAACGATAAAACTGGCCGGTAGAAAATGGTCCAATTAACAGCGATCACTGCAAAGGTGTAACATCTTCGAAACAAAGCCGCACGCAGTATGAACTCGAGCAAACGAAACAACTCGAACATTTAGAGGTAAAGTGTTTGCAGGCTTAACTGGTCCAGCGAGTGTTTGCGATCGCCAAATACTCGTTCCCTTTAACGGTGACTAAGCGACGAACAAGCGTTCACGAATGGACCTGTCCACACACCGGCATCTCTTCATACCCGAAAATAATTTGTAAGCATCCCCGAAGCGAAGATTCATCGCGAACAGTCGAGAGAATCAATCTCGATTCGGAGTGGAGCGTTCAGGTCATTAGCGTCCGGTCACTAATTAAAAAGCACGAGCAAGGCTCGATTATCGACACCTTCAGCGATCTCAGATATCCGGCTCACGCGACGTATTATCCTGCAAGGATTCGCTCACGCGAGTATACCGTATTGTCCCCGTATCGGTCGCTAACGATTCCGTGGCGAGGATTTATCGATCGTCTCATCATCTCCGCGTTAAATGTCTTCGGCGATATCGCCGCGTCAAGATCGGCGGATCGCGTGATCGATCGTTGCTCCGCGAGAGGCTTCGTTCCATTGGCACCTTAACGAACCGGAATTCCTTTTGTACCCGCTACCGGTTCTTATTGTCCACACACTTCCCTTTTATCCCTTTTCTCGCGCTTTCATACGCGTCGCTTTATTTCCATCGCGGAAATTCGTACGCCAGCTGGTCGGACTCACCGGTTATCGGTTCACCTGCTCCGATAATTAAAACTTCGTGATCGATTCTGGCTGTCCTCGGACAGGATGATGTATCTCGGACACCCTCGTTTCCTTGAGGATGTGATCAGACCCAGAGGGTAACTGTGCAAGGTGTGCGCGGTGTAACCCGGTGTTCAAGGTAACCGTGAAGGAGGCAACCACCACCATCAGCACCGTTCAAGATGTCAACGCATACATTTCTTCTTCGTCAAGATGTTTAAAGATCATAAAAAAATTCAATTTGTAAGTTTGTCCTACTTCTGTTCAACAAAAACAAGGTTCTTCACTTCCTTGTGTAAACACTTTAAAACACACTTTATACTGTAACACGATTCTGAGAATGTCGATCAATTACCTCGTTAGAACGATAAAACTGGCCGGTAGAAAATGGTCCAATTAACAGCGATCACTGCAAAGGTGTAACATCTTCGAAACAAAGCCGCACGCAGTATGAACTCGAGCAAACGAAACAACTCGAACATTTAGAGGTAAAGTGTTTGCAGGCTTAACTGGTCCAGCGAGTGTTTGCGATCGCCAAATACTCGTTCCCTTTAACGGTGACTAAGCGACGAACAAGCGTTCACGAATGGACCTGTCCACACACCGGCATCTCTTCATACCCGAAAATAATTTGTAAGCATCCCCGAAGCGAAGATTCATCGCGAACAGTCGAGAGAATCAATCTCGATTCGGAGTGGAGCGTTCAGGTCATTAGCGTCCGGTCACTAATTAAAAAGCACGAGCAAGGCTCGATTATCGACACCTTCAGCGATCTCAGATATCCGGCTCACGCGACGTATTATCCTGCAAGGATTCGCTCACGCGAGTATACCGTATTGTCCCCGTATCGGTCGCTAACGATTCCGTGGCGAGGATTTATCGATCGTCTCATCATCTCCGCGTTAAATGTCTTCGGCGATATCGCCGCGTCAAGATCGGCGGATCGCGTGATCGATCGTTGCTCCGCGAGAGGCTTCGTTCCATTGGCACCTTAACGAACCGGAATTCCTTTTGTACCCGCTACCGGTTCTTATTGTCCACACACTTCCCTTTTATCCCTTTTCTCGCGCTTTCATACGCGTCGCTTTATTTCCATCGCGGAAATTCGTACGCCAGCTGGTCGGACTCACCGGTTATCGGTTCACCTGCTCCGATAATTAAAACTTCGTGATCGATTCTGGCTGTCCTCGGACAGGATGATGTATCTCGGACACCCTCGTTTCCTTGAGGATGTGATCAGACCCAGAGGGTAACTGTGCAAGGTGTGCGCGGTGTAACCCGGTGTTCAAGGTAACCGTGAAGGAGGCAACCACCACCATCAGCACCAGCGACACGCGGAGTGACAAGCACACCACCACCACCACCACCACCACCTCCACCACCACCACCATCAACCACCACCACCAGCAGCAACACTGGCACCGGTAGCAACGGCACCGTCCGACGGGATGCCGTGGACAGGAGAAGGTAGGAGAGCTGCCCCGAGGGGTTAGCCGGCATGGGGAACCGAACGGGAACACATGAACGCGTGCACATGGGAATTTGAACGAGCGGGCAGAAAGTAAAGCGCGTTCGGTCGAGAGGAGGGCCCGCGATGGACTGGCCTCGCCAACCCAAGTCCTCCTACCTTTGGGATCAGGTCCCAGCCTCTACGATGTTACCTCTACGATCCTACCGTCTCTCTATCTTTCTCCCTCTTTTTCTTCACCAATTCCTCTCTCCCTCTCTCTCCACCGTGCTCTTGCTCCATCTTGCGTGTCGCACCTTCCTCCTTCTTTCGTCCTTAGTGCCGCATCTTTCTCTCGCTTTCGGAGCTTTCCTTCTTCGAGTTCCTTGCTCATTCTACCGGTGTTCATGTACCCCTCGATGCTTCAGTTTCTGAGTTACCTGTTGTACAGATTCGGAGCCTCTGCCTTTGTATCGATGGCGATTTTTCTACGGCTACCGGCGCAATTGTGGACGGCCTTATGATGGCGTGCATGCTGCTTGTTTCGCGGTGTCGCGTTTCTTTGCGGTTTTTGGCTGATGGAGCCACGTTTGTGGATGTGCCGGTTTTGGTTTTATGAACTTCTGTGTTAGACGTCGAACTTAATTTTAAGTTTTCGATGTACTTAATTTTAATAAGTTATTTTTAATTAATAACTATTAGGCATACTAAAGTAAATACATAAAGTATATACATAAGTAATAAGTATTAGGTATATTTCTTAGAAAATATTCTTATAACACCTTTTTAATTGAAACTGAATTTTTTGACGTGTACTAAGACCCAGTTTTTCTTGAAATTTGATGTAACTTAATACAATATATTTGAAAAGGATTTAATTTTGTTTTTAACGATTTCTTTAATTTTTTAACCTTGTGTTGATAATTTATACTTCATGAGATTAAACACATGATTTTGCTAAGATAATCCGGTGCAATTATGCGTCTATATTTCGTAGGAGATTTCATTGAGAAATTTACCAGAACTGGTTGCGAATGACTCAAAACGCGAGGTTTGAGTCCCGGAACAATAGCGGCTCATGAACAATCCGATCTCGCAGTCTCACGTTATTCAGATAGGAAACAAATACAATGTCGAATGAATCAGTAGTCTCGCATTGAAATTACGCGGTGCTCCTACCTCGACTCCATTTATCTTTACGCATGTCCACGTTTACTTCTAGTGTAAAATGCAAATATATAGCGTTCCGCTTTAGATCGGTTATCGGCTATTTATTACTTATTTTGCGTCGCTCTGTCCAATACGAACTGCCGGAACTTATGACTCTTAACGGATGTCTGTATTTCAGATGCTAGCCATGAATTCATAACTCGTTATTTTCTTTAAAGCTATTCAATTATTGTCTGTTGGAGAGGGACATGATTAACGTACCCATTCTTAACAATTCTTTGATCTGGCAATGACTGTATTTTATTCCGTATAAATTGTTAAGAATTGTAAGAGTACTTTGTTAATATTTATTATTATATCATTATAGAAGTTTGAGTTTATTTCTTTTGTTGAAAATTTTATGAATACACAATTCATATATTATTTGTATAAATGAATTTTAAATTATTTTTGGTGCACCTGCCTTTTATATCTGCCTGTAAGGAAGATATGAAAATCGAACTCTTTTTTAAATTCAAATACAATATTTTTCAATACATAATCAGCTTATTACTGCACATTATT